TTCCAGCAGAACAATAAGTCTCCCCACACCAAACCTAACAGACCTCAACAACAGGGCCATCACACGCATTGCAACCTCAATAGAACAGGACATCTCATACCCACTGAACACTCACCTCACCCTGCTTCCCTCAGGACGGCGGTACGGAGGGTCAGCAAAGCTCGCCTCGGGAGGAGCCTGATCCCTGCTGTTATAGCGGCCCTGAACAAAAGGCCTCGCTGAACAGGCCAGAGTGGGAACTCTTGACTGTTGCCTAACTCTGCGTTATACTCTGTGTTTCGTGTATGTATGTTCTTTGGTGGGAATTGTCCAATTGTTTGGACAATAAAGTCTAATGTATGGTAACATAAGGGTTTTTTAAGGTAACTCAGGCTACAGACATCCATAACTAATGTGGACATCATTCAAGTGTCTAAATTGAGCCTCTTTTATTTCTCTCCTACCCACAGCTGAAGCAATCTGTCACAAACAAGGACAGCAGATACATTAGAATAAATGTTCCTCAGGAGATCAGGTTTTATAAATTGAAATAGAAAGTGACAATCCCAAAAAACCCTCCAAACGCGGAGCTTATGTGTTGATTTGAGTGCACTGTCAGGCGAGATAATGAGAGTGGCAGAATATTTATTACCGTCATTAGTGTCTGGGTTGGAGTGTAGGTGGAGAGGCTTACAGGAGGTGAAGAGTACCTGCTCATAATCCTCAAACACCCACACTTTTGTTTTCATAGAGATAAAGACGTCAGTGAGAGCCGCGTGCTCAGACTCGTTTCTTAACCACTGAGTTAAACAGCTCTGCAGATTTCAAAACTCCCCTTCCTGTTGATGTATTGTCTAGGCTCTCTGAGACCTTGTCAGTTATTGTTTTAGGTTGATATGTGTGTATTTTACAGATTTAGGGTTTGTCTAAACTGCACACGATATCACACGTTCAGTATTCCCCGCTTCCTTTAGCTTTGCTTTTGTCTCCACATCTCCTGAGGGCTCTTGAGCTCACATATGCTACGCTGTATTCACCAGCTTGTCGCTAACTGTGTCTCTCTGTTTGTGTTTGGTGCCGGAGCAGTTAGTGTACTGTTTGTTTTTAGTGTCTTTCAAAGAAGCTGGGTCTTAAATGGTGATGGTGGTAAAGAACCAAAATAGTAAAGAATAAAGCCAAACAATGAGCTGAAACTTACTGTAATAATCCAAGACGAGGAGAGCTACAAGTTCAGGTTATCATTCTCTGAACGTTTATCATGACACTTCTGTGTTTCAGTCTTTAGTGAGATTTCCTCTTTTTTCCTTTTGATACAACATCTGAACTAAATCATTACTGCCAGGATGACTGCCCACTAGGGTTGGGAGGAAAACTGCATGATGCCACACAGAGATGTACAAAACATGGACGCAGTCTCTGTGACGTCACACATTGGTTTCATAAGAGGCATTATGAGGCCCAATGAAAGCAATCTCAATGTTGGATGTGGTGACTCCAACATACTTCCAGCTAAACAAGAGCTCGGCAAAGAGATGGAGTTATATCACCACCATGATTTTAATCATATTCACTACAGTGACTATTTTGCACTGGCAAATCAAAAATAAAGCAGGATGCACACTGTGCGATGTCAGGCCGATTTAGACCTTCAGGATGGTGCTACTTTGATGGTTTGAGGTTGAGGTTGTGATTTTTGGTCGCGGGTCGTAAACGATTCAGTCAACATAGTCCGCCACAAATTTTACACAATCGTACAGTGTAAGTCGGCTTAAGTCTGAAGTCACCCTGGCACTTTGTCTGCACCTTGCTGCTCTCAGTTTTTCGCTGTGCATCAGTGCACCAGAATGTGTATCGTGTTTCTTCCACTACTCTTTACCTTGCAAGGATGATTGACTCGTAATATTCCTGCAATCACAATCCAGTTGCCCCTTAGGGATTAATAAAGAACTCCATCTATCTTATTATCTTTATCAACACCATAATTCACTTGTCTTCATCACAAGTCATATTAGGATATCAAGTGACAAATGTCCTGGTGGCCTACGAGCTGGAGTATAAATTAACCCTTCGATGCTGCTAAATCATTTGTGTGTGAGACACGTTTTATCCTTTCAGACTTTAAATCTGTAAAATAATGAAACAAAAGCTTCTGGAAACTCTTGTGTTGAGTATTGATCTGAACTTTCATCAGAAGAGAAAGTTATTATCTGAGGTAAACAGAACCTGGCATTTCTTCGAGTGGCTGTATTGAATATGAATATTGAAAATGTTGTTAGAAAAAGCTCCAGTTAGTGACAAACTTTCTTATTATGTGCAGCATTCAGCCTTATAATGAGAGTCTGCTATTCTGCCTGTGTGTGTGTGTGTGTGAATACACTGATGACAAAGCAGATGAAATTAGTTTCTGTTGATGCTTCGATAAACAATCGTTCCGTAATGCCGCTACGACACACTTTTGTGAAAACCTCCATTCAAAGCAGAATTCAGGCAATCTTTCTTCAGTGTCCCAGAGATGGATCAACAAGGACAACAAAGAAAGTTCTTGAATTATTTTGACAAGCTGCATCTCTTACTGTCTCTGAGCTTTTCATCAGCATGCTGAACATTTGTAAACTAAAAGGCAAAGTCGTGTTTAAGGTCCTGAGTCCATTCAATACTTTGTCTTCAGTGGATGTAAATATTAAGATGCGAAGAGGACTGGATCCAAACTCTTTCAATCCTTGTAACCCCATGGGCCATGTCTCTGCCATTTGATGTTCTATCTGGGCCTAAAGCACCCTTAAAGCAGCTCTACTGGCCACGGACTTAATTGATTTGGAGAGTCTCCAACTCCTCGGTGGCCAGGATTACATCCTAATGTTCCATGTCTGCATTAAAGATTTAGCGAAGCCTTAAAAAGCCTTTGAGCGAAGCAAGCGTCCCGAGCATACACAAAAAAACACACCAAGTGAATTCCTGAAATTCCAGACGTTAAAGCAGATCACGGTAAAGTAAAAGCAGTCATTCATGATTCAAGTCGATGCTTCATAATCGTCCTAACTGCTGCCAAAACAGAAAACCTGCGTTTGTCAGATTTCTCCAGGCATCGCCTTTAACCACAGCGCTCCGAGGATTCTCAGGAAGCACACACCTGCGTCTGCCGCTTCGCTTCAAGACGAAGCACCCGTCCACTGAGCCACTTTCAAGGAAACGTATCCCATTCTATCACTCGAGAGAGAATAACTTTGTGAGCAAAGATTGAAATCAACAGTGCTGCTTTAACTTGAGATCAAAGAGTAGACGTGCACTGCATGGTGACAGAATACATCGAGCACTGCATCAAGAGCGGATACAACCACATATTAAAACACCACATTAAAGGCAGGGTTGGTAATTCTCAAAAACAAGCATGATTTTGAAAGTAGCATTCCCTCAGTGCTACGTCTGCACCCGCCCCCTCCCCTCTGTGCTCACTCAAAAGCCACACCCCCTCATTTACATGTACAAGCACCGTTGCTGCAGGAGTGGACCTCAGCTCATCTCTTGAATTGTGTAGAAACTACGTCGTCTCACGTCTCATTCAGCAGTAAGTAAACTCACAGTTTAAACTCCGTCATTGGTGTCGTGCTTTGAGTGTGAGCTAGAGCACGCAAGAGGTAGAGAGCGAGCAGGGAGACAGGGAGGCTGTGATTGGTTCATCAGATTGGTACCTCGCGGCAGACATTGGTTGAAGTTTTTACAGGCTTACAACTGCTACAGATGAAGGATTTTCTTTGTTCCTTTTTCAGAGAACATGAGTTATTAATGTCTGTCAGGACCTAAAGACAATTTCAACCAAGATCTTAAAGAGAGGATCTGGAGGAAAATTATCAACCCTGCCTTTAACATATTTGTATGAAATAGACTAAGAGTGTAGAAAAGGAATCCTGCAGATATCTTTTATTCAGGCACGTTTTTATACCCTCTGAAGCAATGCGTGTCCACATCCTATCCTTCATTGCGTTAATATACTCATTTGCATTTGCTGCTCGTTCAATTTGCATACAAAAATGCCCGGGCTCTGAATCGTGCACGGCCTCTTCCTGACACATATCAGGGCTGTTTGAAGGTGATCAACGGTAAAACCACTTTTCCACGTTCCCCCAATGAAAAGTCTCACTGTGATTTAAGGATCATTTCATCACTGATATAACAAGAACATCCATCGCAAAGCAGTGCAGTTATTGTTTTTATGATGATTAGAATAAAAAACTCAAAAATATTTCCAATAGAAGCACAGCACAAGATTCATAATTGGTGATTGAGTTATTTTGTGCTTTCATATTTACATTTTTAATGTAATGCAGAAACACTCAAGCCTTTTTTACATTCTGCTATCACTTTACATCAAGGTGATGGCCATTAGCAGTGTTCCTGCTCAGAACAGGTTGTTTCTGTGTCTGTACCTTTAAATATGTAAATGAGCTGTGTTTGACCACGCCCCCTCTCTGGAAGAGCTTGGGTGTCTCTGTCTTTCTCGCACCATGTCCTATTGTTTACAGTGAGAAGGTAGACTCAGAGGGCAGAACAAACACCTAGCTGTGGCAGTGTCACCCACCTGGGGGAGGGGCTACTGCCCTTTGTGATGTCATGAAGGGAACATCTCCAAACAGACTGTTTGAGCACACATTTTCTGAAAAGTGGAGCAGGCAAAAGATGAAGAGGATGGACTTTACTGATCATTGGGGGATTTGTAGACAGACTTAGGTCACATATTAGTGTAGAAATAACAGCAAAAAGTGTAGCAGCTTTTTCTTTTTCATCCAGTTTAGAAGCAAAGACAAAAGGCTTAGTCACTGCACCCGAGTCCTATTGTTTAAGGGAGAACCCTAAGGGAGAATCTATTTTATTATATGTGTGAAGTTATGAATATAACCCAGCAGTCAAAATATGTCAGCAACACTGTTTGAAGTCGTAAAACATTTTGAGGTAAAAACTGTGACGGTCCTTTAAGAAGCAGTAAAAAAAACACCTCAACATTAAAATCATCATGACGTGCTCACCTGCAGCGTAGCAGCAGCCAGGTAGACGGACATGAAGATGGGCGTCAGGGTGGTGTGTCCGCTCTTCATCAGGTGGATGGTGTAAAGGAAGATCAGGTGACCGGGGATCACCAAAAGGAAGAGCACCTGAGCTGAGCGATGATTGGCCCCTGAGAAAAGAAACACAAGAGTTGTGAAGGTGAAGAAACTTGCAGGAGAAAATAAAAAGGTTTGAAATTGAGCGTTTACGAAATAGGTGATGATGTAAGAATCGGCTCACCTGCTGTCCCCAGGATCCTGAGTCCTGCTGGGTTTTTATTCTAGACCTCTAACTAGGGATTCATTTACACCTGGAGCAGCATCATTTACCTGCTACCTCGTACTGGAGCTCAGCAGGAGCAGAGCTTGAAGCCAATGTTTCAAACTGTGAACGTCACTTACTGTGCAATTTAAAGCCTGATAATGATCCTGACAACATTTTCATTGACGCCTTGAGGCTGGTGTTTCCTGCCTGCAGAGAACTCACCTGTACCAAAGAATGTGCGGCATGGGTAGTAGCAGCCTTTGGCCTCTTCGGGGACCTCTCCCGGAGCACAGTGGAAATGCAGGTGAGTGGAGATCCTGCTGGACTGGATCGCGACCAAGTTACCCCCGATTCCTGGAAAAAGAAAGAAGAGGGAAGTGGTTCATGCATTGAGCAGGGCAGTCGGTGTTGGGGAAACTGAAGAAGAAGAGTTGGGGATTTTTTTATTAGCATTTTTCAATCAGAAATATGAAAGGCTGGAAAAAATAAACTTTTTGAAGTTTACAACAATATCAAACATAAAGAAAGTTAATGACCAGTTCTTAACCAGTTGTTAAGAAGTTATGTTATGAGTTGGACAGTAAGAGATTGTAGATTGTAGAAACTTTGTGGTTGAATGTCGGCTCACATTGTACGATGTTCACAAAGTACGACCAAAATTCACGATTTATGTTTCTCTAGCGGACACGACCTGTGTGCTCAGACTGTACGATTAAAATCAGGACAGAGCACTCGCGCAACTGTCGATAGAAAACTCCCACATACGGAGGTTAAAGTCCGATTCACATGTATTTCATTTGTGGCATAACCACGGCTCAAATACACGCACAGACAAAAATGCTAAAAATCCCCATACCGGCTCCATATTGGTCGTTTTGGTGAATTTGTCCCCTCTAAAATCTGTATTGGTTTGGTCTCCAAAGGCCCATATTAGTCAGAATCCTTAGTGGATAAAATGTTTATTTTTTGGTTTAGCCGTAATCACCTTAGCCAAATATGAAGCGACATTTTTTTAGGAGGCAATTGCCAGTTGAGGACAGTTTCAGGGTCAGAGGTGAAGGGCCCCATTATTATCTAAACACAGAGCTAAACATCTCGCTCTAGGGTTTACAAGAGATGCCTTGATAATAAAAAAAAACAAATGTTCTTCTTCAATAGACTACACTTCCTCTTTTCCTTTCAGTTCTATTTTCCTCGAGTACGACTTTAAATAACTTGAACAGATGAACTGACAGGAGGATATAGGACGCCATCTGTACTGACAAAACATGGCACAACTTTACATTCACATGATGCAGTTTGAACACCTTCCCCCTTCAGGAAGTAACTCACAAACCAACCACCCAGCTAGGGTTATTGAGCACTGCAGGAGGGGTTTCATGTGCATAAATACAGATATCAGGTGGGCACGGAGCCGCTCAGAGGAGAAGAGAAAGTCTCTGCTAATCGTGTCTGTATGTGTGTAAAAAACCTGTTCAGAGGAGATCTGAGAGAAGAGACGTTTCTTTTATTCAGTATCATAAAAAATGTATTATTCAAGTGCTTGCCGTGCAGCGCGTAAACACCTCTTCTATACGTGGTTGATTTTCAGTCACTGAAATGGTCATGGGCTGAAAACCCGAAGCAGGCGGGAGGAGTGTGTCTCAGACCCCCCACCCCACCCCGCCCCAGGCTTGTTATTGTGGTGAGTATATTAAATTAACACTGCCACCACCTCGGGGCAATTTCTACTTAATTCAATCTACTGTGGCTCTTTGTCCGTCTGGTGACATTTTATTGGAGCATAACCAGCGCTCCCACTGGGCCTGTAAATACACATAACTTCACAATGAGCATTTACAGTCGCTCTGCGCAGCTCGCCGTCCCCCCTTTTTCTCACTCACGCCCTCATAATCTGGATATTATACTAAAGATCTGAACTATAATAATATAATATGTCCTCTTTAAACTAGCAGTCATGGCAAATGGGTGTGGGAACTAGCTTCCAATGAATAGCACGTTGCATTGCTACTTTTGGTTTCCTGTCATTTTGGCTTATTTGATGCTTGTGTTCGACTTTCCACATAAAAATCAATCACCAAACTATATATCAATTACAGAAAAAGCTGTAGAGGCATTCAGTTTGAGCACAAGTGGAAACTATCCGAGTGCTCAAGCGGGGTTTTGAGGGATATTGTGCAAAATCTAAAAGTTCACAAGTCAAGTTCTCAAAAAGAAGAAGAACGTTTGTGAGTAATGAGTAAAATGAGGAACATTTTTTTTCAAACATTAAACAGGCTCAACAGATTATTAGAAGGGAGGATTTGTTGCAGGACTGTTGTTTTACACAGCAGCATTAGGTTTAAGCTAGGTGTACCTAACACTGTCGCTTCAACCTGGGAGCAGAATCAGTTAACTGATACGGAGAGGTCAATAACTCCATCTTTTAAACCGCTTTGATTCTTCTTACACGTGCTTCTTTTTCCTGAGTGGATTTCTTTCCGGCTTTAACTGGTTTCAGGACGACAAAATGCATCAATATACTTACATTTAGGGGAAGAGAGGGTACGTAGTTTGGCATTTTAAAATAACATGTGCCCGAATGTTCTTGTCAAAACATGGTAAAAAATTAGATTAATTGCTCTCTTAGTGCGTGCACTGATTCTGACTTTCTGGCTTTAAGTCCTTGAGGGTGTTTAGGGTTAGGACGGGGGCTTAATGGGCGGAGGTTGTTCCTGCAATCTCAGCGGGGGGGCAGAGAGAGTGAGGTTTGGGGGGGGGGGGGTTCTGACTTATCCAGGTCACTGGGTCTGACAGGAGGAATGGGGAGGATGAGGAGGTCTGGGGCTTCAGCGAGGCTTCGTGGGGAACTGCAGGGGGTCTTGTGCTCCTCTGAGCCGGGCCGCTCTGCCCCGAGGGGGGAGACATGTGAACTGTCTGCTCGCTCATCTCATCTCTGGGCTCTCCTCCTTCGTCTTTCATTTCTTTTTGTTTATTTGAACGGCTGCCACAGCAGGATGTGACTTGATGCTCGGATAACACTTAATGAAAAGAATAAACATGGAAAGAAGCGCTGCATTGGGGGAAGTGAGACATAAAGCAGCAGACACCTAGTCTCAGAACAAACAACAAAAGGAAGGAAGGAGAGCAAATATGCAAAGATGACAAGCAAAGATTAAAGACTCGGCTGTGAGCGAGTGTTGATGGGCGGAAAACTGCAGAACATGGTGCATAACCGAATGTTACATCTCTGGTTGGTACAAGACCATAGTTGGATTAAAGATATTTATTCATATAGCTATCATCATGGATACTGCTTATTGAACTCATCAGTCCTCTTACTTATTCTACTCTGCATCATTTAGTTCACAGAAAGACGTAACAAACCTGAATTAGGAGGTTTAAAAAGGACGCAAACTGTGAGCTGTTTCGGTCAAATCTCTGTTTTTAAATGCATATTTGTGCACTGAGCATGTGCAGGAGAATAAAGACAGCAGGCTGTGAACTTTGTAAGACAAGTCTCAAAATGGTTGGAACCACTAACACCTGTGATGGGAGCCGAGAAAGGTGAGCAGGAGAATATGGGATGCCTTTATTTAGCTGCTCCGACACACTCTGCTCCAAAGACAGCAGTCAGAGAAGGAGGCTCGACCCATTTGAAACCAGAAGGTTATGGGTTGGTTATGGGTTGTAAATGGATTGATTTGTGCTTTTGATTGCCTGCAGGAGACTCTAAAGCGTGTATTGTGCATCTTTAGGGGATGCCAAAGGATTGGACAAAACACAGGTCTTCATAGAGACCCGTGTGTTGTGTGTTGGCTCCATGAGAGCTGCAGGTGTGCAGAGGGCAGAGAGCAGAGAAAGACCCCCACACACGGCGAGCAGGGTGAAGCATCACTTTGGCTGCACACAGACAGAATCACTGCGACTTCCTGTGGGGCTGTGCGGAGGAGTGGGCGTGATAATCTGTTCTTTACAGAGAATAACTGCTGTGACACAATCAGAAAAGAAACATTTTGTATCTCTGATTCAGCGCTTTGTTTATCTCTAACAGCACTCACTCTCCTCTCTCTCCCGCTGTGTCACTCGACCATCGCCGCTCGTTCTAAATTGGTCGAAACAGCTTTGTGTAAAAAAAAAGTGATCTGTCAGTTTCTTACAAAACTTCAGTTCTTTCGATTCTACTGAATGCAGAACTGACACGATTTAAAAGATTGAAGTACGAAAGTAACAACAGCAGGGCATGCATGCACATGGACGGATGGATGGATTCAAACGTCTGCCTGATGGCCACTGGTGAGTCAAGAGTTTGTTGGGGCCCAAGGCAATCAATGAATTGGGGGCCCCGCCAACTAGCAGTACTTATTTATTTTCCTCTTTCTTTGTTTCACTCCCATACGGATCGTTTCTCGTCATTTTCCTTCTGAAACTTTCACTGACAAGCTTTGGTTTTCACAGCTACAGGGGAATTGAGAGTAAGTGCTGTCAGATGGGGCCCCCTTAGGGAGCTTTTTCTACTGTCATTGCAAAATGTGCACATTTTGAGGCACTGCTGTGATTTAAGGCTTGTCAGCCCTTGGGTCCCCAAGCAGTTGCCTGCCTTGCCTATTTACAAGCAGCGCCTCTGCTGATGGCAGTACCTGGACGGAGAGGTGAAGGGGGTGAGAGGGGTCCTCCTTTAGGTACCAAGTTACCAACAAGTCAGGAACTGGTACCAATGGAGAACGTATCCTTAATACCAATAACTAGTCCAAAATGAAGATCAAGGTAAGGACACCTGTAGTGTGCTGAGGCTGACGGGTACAAAGAGAGCAGGAACAGCAGGTAATGATCTGGCAGAAACCTTCTTAATACCTGGATTAAACAGAACACCTTCATTTGAATTTATATTTTAATAAAAAAGTCTGCACAGTCACAGGCTCATTCTGTGGCAGGAGAAAGTGGATATAAAAGTGCTAATATATTTAAATTAAATAATGGAGGTCGTTGTGGAAAGCGAGGCCCCCCTCCCTCTATTTTTCATTTAACCTGTCGTCTCTTATCACCCCGTACACATCTCCTTCCTCACTCCATGCTAATCAAATATCCACACACCTTCCTTTCACACTTTCTGTTCCGTCTGCCCTTCGTTTCAATTGTATTTTTTTATTAGAACAGCCGCCATGCTGCATTTTAATCAGCCGTAAGACACGAGCAGGCCGCCTCACTGCCTTCTCACCCATGAATAAAAACGTTGTTGAAAAGTTTACTGAGACCTGGATTTTTTCCGACTCTGTAAACACAAAATATCCCCCCGAACTCACAAATAGACGCACGCTTGATTCCCCAGCTGTTTAGTGTCTCGACGGAAAAACCAATTAGAGTCAGAATCGAGCGCCATCTCGTTAAATGTCTCTCATTAATGCCATTTAAATGAAAAGCTTATCTGTTATTGTGAAGGTGCCAGCGCCCCTGGCAACACGGCTGAGCCGGTTAGCGGTGGGAGATGGAAGCGGGAGGAAATGGAAGAGGACCAGTTCTGTGAAGTGGAGGCAGGCGGACGGTGGAGGACTGCCTGCACCGGTCTCATTAGGATACTTATTTATGCTGATGAGTCTTGATTTGGTCACCTTCATTCATCCATGCTCTGCTGTTGACTGAGCACGCTTCAGTCTCTCTCTCACACCTGGGAGCTGCACAGGACAAGACAAATAGACTCTGCAGCGCGTCATCCATCTTGTGTGTGAACACTTTGTCTATATCTCAGCTCCAGAGGGTCAAACACTGCATTAATTGCAAACTGAGTAGAATAAACGACACAAACAAACGACACACAGAGTTTCTCTGTGGACAAAGTGAAACAGCTTGCTGCCGTCTGCTGTGGAAAATTAAATTAGATTGCATTACGGCTGCTTATTAAGACACACGTCTCGTTAAGAAGCCCGTCATCTAACCACTGTCTCTGGCACGCTTCACCTCCGACCACAAATATTTCCAGAATCAGAATCAAGTCGACATACACATTACGTGTATGAGCTCAGTTTGCATTTAACAGAATCTGTTCCTGGTGTTTCTGCTTTATGTTCCTCCACACAGAGAGAATTTACTTTACATAAAAGCTGAAGCTAGTTGCTGAATTAACTACATCATCACTCTTTATTATTTAAAGATTATGACAAACAAATGTAACATCTTTCAGAATTTTGAGGGACTCAATTTACGGTACTTTACAATAACATTAAGAAAAGTCCTTTTCACACCTGAACTCCTGAAAATATCTAGATCATTTCAGGAGGATGCTCCGGAGATTCTTCTGATCTGGTTGTTCACACATGCACCTCACAGCGGGAGACTATCCCTGTCAGACGGGGCGGGGGGGGGGGGGGGTCTCCTGAAGTAAGACGTGAATTAAAAAAACATGCGGAAGTAGCGGACAAAGCAACAGAGTCCTCTATACGACGCTATAATGAGAATATTTGTCTTTCTATCAATGCTACGTGTAGTTGATCAGGATCTCAATGTGAACTAAAGAGTGGAGAAGAACATTCTGGAGAACAGGAAACATGATGCAGCAGGTTCATTAGAGCACGGAGATGGTAGAGGTGACGTGCAGACAGTCTATGGTCGTGCAGCGATCACAGGGAATAAACGTCACCACCCCCTCCCACTCGCTCCAGGTGAATTCTCCTGATTATATCCTGCTGCGTTCTCACATCAGCTCACTCTGACTTTCTGCAGAAGAAATACGAGGAGGCTGGAGGAGAAACTCCGGTGAAGTCAGAGTGAAAACGTTTTTCAGGCGTTTTCTGCAAGTGTGAAAGCCCTATAATTCACATATAACTCTGGGATAAAGCAAAAATAAACCCAAACCAAAGGAGCTTAAGCCAGCGCAAAATCTTCCTTTACCTCCACCATGTGGGCCCTTATATTTATTGATGATTAATTCTATCACGCAGTTACCTTACATCCCTTATGCATGTTGTTGATTACCAACAAACTTGGACCTGATGATGTTAGAAGACAGGTCAGGTGTTCAGAGATCAATCATCCCATCCTGAGGGACTCATGGATGCATCCTATAGTTGTTCATACTTTTCAATAAATACATGAAGAACAAGAAGAACGATGCCGCCAAATCTGTCTGTAAAATGCATGTTGTTATGATAAAATATGAGAGCATACAGTTGGTGTTGTTTTTGGTTACATGCATGCACACAGGTGAGTAAGGGTCAGAAGTTTTTAGATGAAGGTCAGTGACTGTATTCACATGTGTTCAACCTCAGTCTTGTGGTATTTATAATGGGGGGGGGGTGTATGTATGGGTCATTGAACACACCACATTCCTTTGACTCTGACTGGTGCGAGTGTGTCCTGCACTTTCACAGAGGTGAAACACAGGATGTGGGATTAGCGCAGAGTTGACTTTACATATGTTTATGTGTGTTATAAATCCCGCAGGATTTAGAGAGGTATTAAATCAAAAACCGCCCCGCTGTAGTCTTTGACCACATTGTCCTCGTCTTTTCTTGCCCCCGAGGAGCTGCTGCAAATCAAACTGCGACACCTTGAAGCCTTTCAGAGCGAAGGAGGAAGCGGTGCCAACAGAGTGACTCACCGTTGATAACCGGGGTGTAGACCACGATGCCAGCCAGATTTGGGTCAGACACCGTTTTGTCCAGGATGAGCCCGCCGATGCTGCAACATAATAAGATCATTAACTGGTGTTATACACTGTGTGAGTGTGAAAGACGGAGAGAGAGAGAGAGAGAGAGAGGGGGAGACAAAAGGGGCATAGAGAGGGAGAGATGGAGCATTGTCTTCATCTAAATGATGTCCAGAGTGAATTTGTGTGCTTCTCTATAAACGCTTTATCAGCAGGACGGACTGGAGAAGACTGAAAGGGAGGGAAGGAGGAAGATTCTTTTTAAATAGTTCAGCTTGTCTAGAACTAATATTTACTTGCTCTTCGATAAAAGCAGAGAAATGATGTTGAGAGGCGAGCGAGACAATCAATCCCTTTCCTACGGGCGGTATTAGTAAGCCTGCCAGACTCAAGGGGACCCGAATGTGTGTGTGTGTGTGTGTGTATGTGTGTGTGTGTGTGTGTGTGTGTGTGTGTGTGTTGGGATGCTGCGATTTGTTTAGGGATGAGTCATCAAGCCATCCAGACACTGGGAGTTGCAGACGCAGAATAGCTGTTCTTTCCGCTTTGAAGCCTAAACACACACAGATTTTTCACACACTAACACAGTAACACGCACACACCTGCTGATGACCATGGCGGTGATGACTGGCTCCCATCCGGAGTAGAGCAGGGTGCGGCTGGCCGGGTGTTTGGAGGAGATGACGATCCACAGAGGAGTGAGACACATGAAGAAAGCACAGACCAGCGACGACACATATGGGTAGGAATCTGGGCGGGAAAAGAGGAAGAGATTCATTTTTCCTCCCTGGACAGCAGTTTGGAGAATATCCCAGCATGCATTAGGGAAATGATGCATGCTGGGATCGTATACATAGTGCGTACTGTTAAAATGCTTTTATGCCTCCAGTGCCAATCTGAAACCCGGCTTTCTACAAACATTACAAATGACGCTGTTTTTAGGAGCTTAGTTTGAGGAATGCAACCATTTTCTCCACTTTGTTTCACAATTCATCAGTTGAAATGTTGACAAATCACAAGCAGCGAACTTTCCTGCTGAACGTGACTCAGGAATCTTTAGAACGCAACTGTCCTTCGAGGTCATCATGATAAACTGATTTACTGCATTTTATAAGATATGCACCATGATATATGGGTTTACATGTTAGAGGGTCTAAATGACTGAAGTGAAGTGCTCCAGTAGCTGCAAGAAGATTGTGATGTTAGCCTCGCATGCAAAAGTAACATCATTGAGCTGTGGCTCAGTGGGTATAGTCGGTCGTCTCTCAACTGGAAGGTTGGGAGTTTGATCCCCAGCTCCTGCAGCCACATGTTTGATGTGTCCTTTGGCAAGACACTTAACTCCGAGTTGCTCCCACTGCTTTGTCAGCGGCGTATGAATGGATGAGTTAATACTGATGGACTCTTTACTCAGCAGCCTCTACCATCAGTGTGTGAATGTGGAGGTGTGACCTGCGGTGTAAAAGCTCTTTGAGTAGTCAGAAGACTAGAAAAGCGCTCTCCAAGCTCAAGTCCAATCACTATTTTCCATCAACTAAAAGTTCTTTTTTCCCCACTAACAGACTCAGATTGTTTGTTAGTTTGTTTGATTGTTGGGGCTGCAGTAGCTCAGTCTGTACTGTAAGGATTTGGGTTGGGAACCAGAGTTGTCGCCGGCTAAAGTCCCGGTGCGGACCGAAATATCGACGTTGGACTGGAGGCTTGAGAGGTGTCAGGTCACTTCCAGAGTACAGCTTCTGTGTCGTCGAGGAAGGTGCTGAACCCCCAACATCTCTGTTGCGCTCCCTGTGTAGCAATGTGAGGCTGAACTCTCTCCATCAGTGCACGTCCACAAGTCCTGTTGTGGGTGATTTAAAACTGTCTCAAACCATTACAGAAAGGATCCCCAAAGACAAAGATGATTTTTGGAATGTCTCTCTTCAAAACCACCAGACACTGTTGACTGAATCAGTTATTTGACCTCCCACATCGAGCGATTTGCTCCTCGTCCACTGCCTGATCGCTTAGTTCTCTATTTTGGTTTTCACATTCGCACAAAACCGAAAAATGTTTCCCCAAATTCTCAGGGTCAAACTGATGTGTGCACACATTGCAAAAGGCCAATTATTTCACCTCCATTTTCCCCCGGGCTTTGTCCTGCCAGCCTCCGCATAAAATGTCTGCATGAAGTTGGGGTGAGCTGATGTTTGAATACAGCAGGAAATATTCAGGAAAATTCCCCACGAGTGAGCGCCGGTGGTGATAACTTTGATATGATGTGACCTATGTTACCTTTATGCATGTGATGAAGCTGCTTCATACTAGATTCTGTTCATCAGGATGTGAATACGTCCTATTACAATACGCATTGATACCCTGACTTCTCATTGAGGTTGGTAAAGGAATCAGCTCAGTGCAGAGTCAGGTGTGTGTGTGTGTGTGTGTGTGTGTGTGTGTGTGTGTGTGTGTGTGTGTGTGTGTGTGTGTGTGTGTGTGTGTGTGTGTGTGTGTGTGTGTGTGTGTGTGTGTGTGTGTGTGTGGCGGATTGGTCTTGATTAAGACCAGGTGTGGGGAGCTTATATCTACTCCTGGACTCCAGTGCTCTGTGCTGACTCATTATCTCACCTTCAGAGGTAGTGAGAGGACATCCAGTGTTTGTGTGTCAGTCTGCACAAACACCAACAGAGACATTCTGCTTATTTGCTCTCAGAGTGTAACTTGTTGTGTTGGGGAGTGTTTTTCTCCTGTGTTTCCTGTTATGCCTCCCTGGCAGCCTGTGTGTTTTTTTTTTTTTGTTTTTCCTGGAAAATTTTATCTGGAAAAAGTTCCTCCTTATCTGGGCAGAAGTTAGTTTCGGAACGGAGTTTTTATTTTTTCTTGGTCAATACTATTTTTGTTTCCCTTCTCCCATGTAATCGCTTGTCCCTCTGGGATAACTTGAAGACGCCGCCCGGGTCTGTACCTGCACCGGCGTCCCACTTCCTAACGGATACACAGCCAAATAAATGTGTTGCACCTCGCTGTGGGTGTCATGTGTGAAAAAGCAACTGAGAAAATCATTCAGAGGGTGTCCAGAAATGTTCAGAAGTGCATGTATGGAAAAAAGCTTTTGGTGTTTTTTTTTTAGTTGGATCCTGATTATTTATTTCAAACACCAAAGTCACACAGTAACGGAAACAAACCAACTGATCGAGGAGGCAGTAGGCCAGTGTGCGCTTAGTGACGTAGAATTATCGATGACATCTGCTGGCTTTGAAGAGGGAATTTTTTACGGCTGTTTTTGATCTACAAAAAGGAAATTGTTTTTCGACATCGGGACATTCAGTGTCTGTTTTTGGCACAAATAAAAACTTGAAATGGATCTTGATTACGTTGCTGCCTAAAGGAGTAACTCCAAACCTTTATTACAAATGGTACCACAAGTTAGACCCGCACATCTGTAGGAATATTGTCCACTTTAAAGACACTAAAATCCCCCTCTAACATCGTGAAGTTTTCCACTGAGGCAAATTGAACAAAAGCACACACATATCAAATTCAGCCTACAAGCTGTAGACAGGTTTCCCTCACTCTCCGTCTATAACCAGACCTCTTTGTTCAAGCTACAATATAGCACACCAGGACTATTTTAAAAGTGCCATTAGGGTAAAGCACCTGCTTAGTGCCACCTCAGGTTTCCACCTGGATTCTGGTCCACACACTAAATAACTGTCATTAAGAAACCGTCCCAGATTTATCATCCCCATGCTCCCCTGAGCCGCAGAACAGAAAGAGCCCACTGTTCAGCGCCAGCAGACCTTCACGCCTCAAGTGTATGAAAGTGCTTCGGATATTCTGAGGCACACGTTGTCCCAAATCCATCCAGCTTCCTCCCAGACGCTGACAGGAAATCTGACACTGAGTTTACATGCAAAGAGTAAGATGAGCAATCAGCTGCGCTACAATTAAAGTCTTGTACGGCTTAAATTGTTTACATAATCCCCGACAACCTGCCACTTAGTCTCCCTAAACCAGTGGACTAATAATTGATATTCCTGTCCATCTCTGGTGGAATACATTTCTCTTAAACGCTCGGCCAGGAAAAAAAAAAAAAAAAAAAAAAAAGAACGACGCTGCTGCCAACTGTCTGCTTTAGCTGAGAAATGGCGAGATGCTCCCAATGCACGGGACATAAACCATGATCCCAAAAGTGATGATTAGTATTACAAGCCTCCATGCTCTACGCTGACAGGAGCGCCCCAGAAACGCAGCATGAGTTTGCAAAAGTAGAAAGTATCAGAGAGGGGAGTAAGATGTTTCTCTCAGGGGGGTAACCGTGCATTTAAAGCAGGATTACACTCGCTAAGAACCTGTCAGGGTTAGTCTAGCTTTAATACTGTATGTGATTATAAGGTTATCTCATTAGATTAAATTAAATACCTTTTACACAAAATGTTCTAAATTAAGGAGACTTGGAGCATGTTGAAGGACATTAAAACCCTTCTGAATGAATCATTCATGCACAGTACAAGCTGGCTTTTATACAAAATTCAATGGTTAAATGAAAGTTCAAAGAGCGATGATTCTAAAACTCGTGGTCAAAAACCCTCTGAGGGGGTCCGGGAAAGACTGCGAGGAGGGGTCACGGATGATCCAGGGGATGAATTTTAAGAAGACTTGGCGATGCATGAGTTTATTAAAATGTTTTACTATGCACACAAACAAGAACTCGGATGCTATTAAGGTTATTTTGCAAACCAGGGGCCGTATTCACAAAGCCTCTTGAGTACTTAAACCTGACTCACGCTTCTTGCGCTCAGCGATATTGCACAATCGCGGCCGGCGTGACAACGCAAGGAAGGGTCCACGGAGGCTCGGCACCGCAAGTTGCTCCTAGTGAAAAATTCTCAGAAAATTCTTAGCATCGTGACATTTTCTAAGAATTTCCCCCTCAAAGTTACAACTAAAGATGAAAATGCACAAAGAGTCTCAGCCCTTATAAGAGAGCTCCTCAGGTGACAAACTGTGAGGAGGTCTTCTAACAGGATGACGAGTTTCTCAAGCTGAGGAGGAAACAGAGAAATGTTCTCCAAACTCAACATGAAGAATATTCTTATCGACTCATAGATGGGTCAAACAGACAAAAATGATTTGTGCAGACATTTTAATCCATCTCTGACTTTTTTCAGTACAAAGTGAAACATGCCTGTTAAGTCTCTCCACATGTTACCTCCACAGGTGCAGCCAATCACGAATTAAGACTCTTCACTTGATGATGTAATGATCAGCATGTGAAGAAGCTGCTACACAAGGGAGCATGTGCTTTTAAACATCTTGTAGGCGATATACTTTAAAAGTAGGACTAACAATTTATCACACATGATAATTTCATATTGTTCCTATGGTTGGGCCTAATCAAATCAACTTTAATGTAGAGTCCCACATTAAAGTTAAAGAGTGACCAGCAGAGTCGGGCACAGAGCTCACAAGCTAAGGGTCTGTGCTTCACAACTTTCCCTGCAGGCTGAGAGCTCGACTAGCGTACTGTAGTAGGAGAGCAAACTCCACAAAGCGAAAACAAACAGTATTTCAAGAGACACACCGGTGTAGAGAAACTGCACGGTGTAGAATTCGCTGAACACAATAGAAATCGTCGCGCAGGAAGACAGTTTAGACAGTTTTTTTTTTTCTGTCTGAGAAACCTTCAAAAACAGACTGTGACTCCGTATTTTACAGTAGTTAAAGTCGGGTTGAAAAATATCGGCTGTCTGCATTCACACATGCAGCTCTCCCTGAAACATGTCAGGCAGTTCTGTGTATGTGGGGAAACCACCACAGGACATTTCTCAAGTGACAATTATACAGACATGCAAACTGCGTAAGCCGCTATAAATGTGAATGAAAAGGAATCTTAATCCGTTTTTTATGGGAATGTGGATCTCTCAGAGACTATGTGAGAAAAACCGACAGTTTGCATGTTCCACACTTTATTGAAAGCGTATCATGCAGAGTGGGACTCAACCCTGCATGACCCTCTTGGTCTTGGCTCAGACTCAGATTTGGTCTTATCAGGGTCTCTGTGTTTCTCTTTACTACAACACTCAGATATGCTTACAGTACCAAATTGTTGGTGAAAATGTTCACATTTCATGATCAATTTCAAATGAATTCAGCCACTAAGGAGAAATGTTTTGGTCATAATTGCAATGACAAAGCTTTTCATAATCTGCTACAGCTCTGACTCTGATGCCTCTGGCTATTTCTGCTCTGAATTTGCTACTGTAAGCCGACTGGTAAATATGTTCGCACACAAACTAGAATCCAGAAGCACTCTGGAGCTCTTCTGCTTTCTTTCACAGCCTCCTGCAGGCAAATAAATACCTGACACAATATTCTCTCTACCTCTGTTATTGTCGGGTATTTGTGTCATAGTGTTTATATGTGACTCATTATATGACTTTAACACCGAGTGTCTCAGTATTGGAGTTTAGACCCGACCACATTTATTCATCTGACTCAATAGCAGCTACTTCTTCATATCTGTGATTCAATTCTCAAGTGGATTGCCCTGAGCTGGCCCTGTGTTGCCACAGCCACACACACCTCCTGTGCACGCTCTCTGTGACGCTCTGGCCCCAATTTCTTGGTGTTTGCGCTCCTTCTCATGCTCTAATTATACCAGCTTTTATCTACCGGTGAGCCCGCTCATCGGAGCATTTTCTTACCATCCTGTTTGTCAAAAGGACTTTAAAAATAAACCTGAACGGACCTGACTGTCTCGCCTATGTCTCACCTCATCTCTGCTCTTCCAGGATTTAGAGGCATTACGTTCATATCTGCGTGAAGAATATCATGTGCTTCAAATTCCATTTAGCTGAGAGTGACTATGAAGTGACCATTAGGTCCAGTTTAGCTGGAAAGTGTGGTCGTGGCCGGGCTCAGGAACAACAGAGCCACTGTCCTGAGCGTGTCACAACCTCGCTGCACTGCCTTGTTGTGGAAATGTGAAATCTGAAGTGTGCTTAATACAGTTAGCTCACAGCGCTAAATTGCTCCCTTCATAACGGTGAACATCTATGTCACGCAATTCGAGCTGGCAGGGTTAGTTAGTGTGAGGCGATAACCAGAGGAAACAGCTTCCAGTGAACGCTGCGTTGAGTATTACAAGGTGGTGCAACACAGGTCTGTGTGTGTGAGATGAATTAAACATGAAGGATGTGTGGCAGGAGGGAAACACACCGGCAGGCTGCTGTGTTGGATCAGAGTGAGGCAGGAGCGACCTCTGCTGGCTGACTGAGGGAACTGTCTCAGTAAAAACATTCAGGGTTCACGTCGACTCTTGAATGGAAGAAGAGGAGAGTTGTGATCTCCATTATGATAACATGTTGTGATGTGTTTTCTGCTAACCATAAGCTTACTTGAGTGGAATCATGAGGAGTAATGCTGCATTCAAATGTAATCTGACAAAAGAGAAATAAAACATAATTCTCATAATTGGAATTAGACCGATTATGGTCACACAAATCACAAGTCATAAGCATTAAGACATAATTTCCTCTGTTTGTGTTTGTGTGTGTCGTAGGGCGTGTCTGTGAGCTGGCTGCTGCAGCCTTGCCGTGTCAGATGAAACACCAAAGGAGGCGCATTTGTTTCGGGGCTATATCTTCAGTTTTTTCAAACACAGCACTAACATTTTTTGTGGGACTGCCCGCCAAAACATGACAAAATATTTAAAAAAGAGTTAAGAGTTGGATGGTGGATGACATGCGGATGGTCATCCTCATCACTCATATTTCAGATTCTATTTTCACATGTTGTGTTGGTTTTGTAGCTTGTTTATAATCAGAGCAGAAACTAGATATCAAAGCTGAAAGATCCCATTTGTCTTCCTGTTTTTTCAGCAGCAGTTTTTCAGCAGCAACAAGCTGAAACTGAGAGACACAGAACATCTGCCAATGCTTTTCAAACGGTTAATCTCATGGAAATGGAAAAAGAGTTTTAAAGAGTCAAGGCGAAGTTTCTCCTCGAAGTGTATGGATGTCTTGTACACTCGACGCTATAAAGATTGTTATGTTTCAAATGGTGAGTTCAGCATGAGTATGTTTGAAACGGGACACAGTTAACCCCCGAGCTGGCCAATCAATCACGTTCATGAACATAGTCAGCCACACACAAACAGCTCGTCTGTGATTGCAGTAGCGCTGTTTCACCTACCCAGGCACTTGTAGAGGCCCTGGCTTATCCAGGCCAGGATCGCCAAGGTTATGAGGTCACCGAAACTGGCGGCGATGGGTGTGGCTACATTGTCTGGGTTGATGCCCGTCTTCTTCGAACCCACAATTACACCAACCATGATGATACCTGGAGATGACATAAAGAGGGTGGAGCAGGTGACTAAAAGTCTACAAATAGCTGGTGACCATCAGAAAATGACCTCACTGTATCATCAGACATTAAAGACACATGATGTGTTGAAGTGCTGACAACAATGCAGCAGCCAGTATGTCCTGCTAACTGCTGAATTCTCCGAGTTGCATGCACAGTCCGTCTCCGCTCCACCATGGCAGTGGAGCTGATTTGACTTTTTTTTTTCCAATGTGTGTGCTTCCGCTGGCTGCCCTCTGCAGCGGATGCACAAGGCTTCCATTTCTGCCAGATGCCGGAGCGCGGCGCATCACTTTACCACAGAGCAAATCGGGAGCAGGACAGGAAGTCACACACAGAAACAACATTGAAACAACTGTTTTATTTTCAGAATAAAAGACTCTTGTTTTGACTGTTTGAAAGCGATCACCTTGTGTGTGTTTATGAGGGTCTTTTAACACGACACAGTCCCATGGTGGAGGCTAGGCGTCTGGCGGTGGTTGAGGGGACGACACCGGCTGTCTAAATTACAACTAACTAATGTTTCAATTCAACTGGAATAACTTTATAAACCCCATCGAGGTGCGATTGATTTGAAACAACTTGTACAAGACGTAAACTCAGCAATGTTTTGTACAGACAATAAATTATGCATAAGAGCTTCGAAATGAAATGTGATCCCAAATGGATGCTGATGAATAAATCATCTGACTGATGGGGCAATTAAAGGATCAGTCTTAATAACTGGATAAAAGCATCATTCCTCAATTTGTTTTTTGCGCCTTCACTTGCACAACAAATTTGCTGTTGTCGTCGTTGTATTTTGTATACATGCCTTTCATTTCTTTACATCATATTCTAGGACTCTGGAGCCGACAGACATGGATGTAAACTTGTTTTGTTGGTGGAAGTAAACCCCCGCTGGGCAGTTATTCTGGTCTGATTTTGGTTTGTTTGTGCTGAACTGAAGTGACCCAGCGTCTCCACAGTGACAGTGTTAAACAGCTTATTTTAAACTGTGGCTTCTCAGCTGTGTGTGTGTGCGTGTGTGCATGTGTGTTTACCCTGCAGCAGGGAGGCTATGAAGGCCGTCGCAACACTGCTGGAGCAGAGCAGCACAGCGTGGCTCATCTGGAACTTCCCCTCTGGGATCCAACCGAGAACCACGGCCGCTACTGCAGCCAAGAATCCCACCACAGTGGCCTGAACCTGAAAGAGAAACGATGTGTGTTTAAAACAAACAATTGTCACAGGATCAGAGGGAGATGTTCTGTGGTTTATAAACACGATTGTGAAAGTACATCACGTCCAGGTAGAGTTTTCCTTTTCGTCACGTAACATTTCCTGCTGCCAGATGTTGATTGCGCAACATACCAGACTAACAGCTCGTCAAAACACTACATGAGTTAGGGTGTGTTTATCAGTGTGTGGGTAGATGATTAGCAGAGCCTGCTCTGAGTCATACTGCACGGACAGAAATCAATATGCCCTGCTCAGACTGACGCTTCAAGGCGAGATTTTACATCCTTGTGGCATGAGGGGATGAAGAGATCCCCCCTCCTCTGTCAAATATATGAAATTATTTTAATGGCAAAGCAATTTAAATGAAATCAGTAAATGGGCCTCTAGCAACTCCTGGGAAAAATAAAGTGAATCATGCTTTTTATTTTTAGAAATCGACATTATATTTTAATGGACGGGCTGAAAAACTGCAGCGGTGTTCCTGTGATTACCTGCTTCAGCGCCAGGTTGCCTATAATTAGATTCCACTTCTCTATGGGAGAGTCCATCTTGCCCACATTCACCTGTGTTGAGAGAAGGAGACACATCACATTCGGTCGCAAAACAACCCAAACCAGCTGGGTAAGAGTTAACCTGGAACAAAACAAGCCTAATTGTGGTGATACACCACTAATTGTGTCAGCTGAAGGTCCTGCACAATTACTTCCAAAGTTTGGACCTGTTTCATAAGTAAAATTGTAATGCAACGTTTAAGCATAGTCTGTAATTGTGAATTATATTGCAGTTACAATATCTGTAAAATACATGCATTGTACATTTTTTGAACACATTGTGCAGACCGAATAAATACTGTGCATGAAGCTGTAAATCATAACTTCTGGTCAGATCTAGAAAATTATATCGATCTCTCATTGATCCCAGTGAAATGTGACAAAGATTAGCTGAAACCTAAAGTATGTTTCGACTTTCAGCAGGTAGACGGTTGCTATGTGTGTCATGAAGGACGCTATGACATCATGTTTAGCCAACCTCAGTTGAACCCTACAGCAACCCGCTGAGCACCATATATTAACCTGAAGAGTCACACTCACATATGATAATGTGTGCATTCACAAAGATCTATACACTAATTCTTGCTGCTCACATTGGCTGCTCGAGGAAGACCAAATAGCACCTTAGGAAATCTGGAAATGTCCCGGTGCTTCAGACGTACAATCAGCACCTGATGCCTGTTCTCTTTGGCTCACATTGAGTTTTCTTGTCACTTTTATGACGAGCTACCAAAACTTAAATGTTGTTCATCAACAGAATCTTTGCCTTAAAACCTACCAGCAGACCTTCGGCTACTTTAACTTTAATAAAAAAAAGAGAACTTATCATTCGTCTGTGATCATCTTACTGCACAGAGACATTTAGATTGTTGCTCCTTGTTACTTCACACCAGGCACGGGTGCAAACTGCAGATTTTAAAGGCGTACTCACACTGGGCCCAGTTGTCCCGTACCGTGTTGAAGTGTGATTGCCCCCATCTGCTCAGATTAGCGTTGGGCTGACAAATGGATCATTTATTTGTTCCTGAAGTCACAAACATGTGACTCTCTTTTTGTTTTGTTTTGTGAAAAGGTCACACCAAAAAATGTAGTTCGGATTAGGACAATATTCTGATTCTGATTTTGGCTCAGATAAAAGCTGATATTGCATTTTCTTTCACAGGGCATTTAGCGTAGCCTCTTGGATTGTTAATAAAAACAATACTGCTTCACTGTGATGGTCACTGAGCTTACATAAGCTTGCACTGCTCTGCATGCAGAGAAGGTCCGATCAGACCCCTAAGCATTGCACCCCACTCCTCATGTAATGTAATAATGATCAACTTTAGCCCCTCTGTATCTGGAAGACAACAACATGTTTCAAACTGCACGGCTCGGATGACAGAAATATCATCTCCAAACTCAAGCTGAGACTCGATTAAAGCTTCTTTGAGATGTTGAATTTATAAATGAAACTATAATTTTTAATATCAAAGGATGATCACATGCAGTAGATGATAACTAAGCTCCCCTGCTGATGATCTGTTTCATTTTCTTATGTTTGAATAAAAAAATTGTTTTCATCTTTCAACTATTTTAATATTTCCAATGTCCTTTTTTTTTTAAGAAGATATTTTTATCTGAGTGGATGAAAACATGCATTTGTTAATGCATTCTCTTTTTAAATGCTCAAAGCATGAACTTTCTGCAACTTATCCAGCAATTTGTCACATAAGTATTGATATGTTATATCATTTGTGCAATGTCCTCTGTAGCTGTGGAGGAGCGTATAACCCCCACACTGTGAATCACTGTCTGTTGCATAGCTGAGCCTGAGGGGAACAACAGTCACGGGAAGACAAATAGTTGATCTGGACTCCACGGAGGAGGATCGGCTCACACTGAGCTCCGCTGTTGGTGTTGACACAGCGCTGTGAATGTGGAGCCTGTATGCACGGAGCCCAAAGGCAAACAAAGAGAGACTTCTGCCCCGTCACTTCTTCTGCACTTTCTTTCTGTCTGCAGGGTTGCAAACAGAAATGTGGAGACACTGAGTAATCTGAACAAATTCTGTTGGATAAAAACATCATGCACTTCTTTTCAGGACTGTAAATACCCTGGTTTGTGCAGAGAGTTTAAAAAAAAAAGCTATCATGTGCTGCAAATGTTTGCACTCTTTGTTCTCTTGAGAGGCCAAACCCATCTCCACCTCCCCTGCTTCTTCCCATCTTCACCTCCCCCTTTTTTCTGCCCGTCTCCACCTCCCCTGCTCCTGCCCGTCTCCACCTCCCTGCTTTTGCTCTGAGACGTTTAAGTGCAGCAATAAATTCCCCTTCTGACTGTTCTGTCGTCCAGGTTCCAGCAAACAGCCTCACCTCCTTCCACAGGAAATCACCCCTCACCACGCTACATCAGCAAATTCCTCCACTCATGTCTAATCTGCACAAAGTCCACGTAAAATGCTGCAAATAATTATCTTACAACACTTTTCTTCAGCTTTTTATAACTTCAGTTTAGAATGGAGAAAGCTGTACTGTATTAGTTTAAACTTAAAGGCTAAAATCCTTTCTGTGTTCTTCTTCCTTCCACCTGACAAAACGATAATAACAGACTCCATCAGCTGTACACGATGTCACAGAGATGTAGTAACTGTACAGAGCGGGCTCGGCCTGTTGAACTGAGACACAACCGCAAACAATGATGCAACTCCACACACACACAAACGAACAAACAAACAGACCCCCAGAATGACATCACACCTCATGTGTACCATCCAGAGCAGCTAGAAGAGCAGGCAGTAGGCAGTAACAGAGTTCACAACAAGAACAGAAAGTAAACTGAACATGTCTTCTGCAGAAGGAGATGTGGTAAAAGACTCGTGGTTTTATGTAACTGCGGCCGGGTCAGCGGGCTGCACGACTTATTGCAAATTCAGCGTTATGGGGAAACAAGAACTGTCAATAACATCCAAAAGTCTCAATATATTCTTTCTCACTGAGCATGTGTACATGTTGGACGGAGGCCTGGGGGATAATGTTCATGCTCTCATATAATTTTGTTGTAGTCGGATGAAGGTCAAGCCGGCTATCAGCCGCGTGCAGATTAATTGTTGCAGATTTAATGATGAAAAAAGAAGCTTTTTCTGTCTATTTTAGATTCAGGAGAGACATGTTGCAAACACAGGTATTGTGTTAAACATGGAGGAAGGCAGATAGCGGTAAAAACTTAGAGATTCACCGATTGGGAAAGTCATGGCCGATGCCGATCCCAAAGTTTGTTTTGATGACTTCTTTTGATGTAGGACTCCCACAATGCCGACATTTTCTCTCATGTTTGACGATGAAAACAAGTCAGAGTTTGTCCAATAGGTGACTTAATCCACCCAATAGAAACCTCTTCACTGAATCAGTAGTTAGTTGAACTAGATGGCAACACTAAATTGATTTGACACGACAAATAAACGTCGGCTTCTGATATCGGTTAACACCACTTTTTTTTTTTTTTTTGCTGATGTCTGTCAACGAGGCCGATATCGACAGATACCGACGTTAAACCAATGCAGCGGTCATCCGATCAGTTTGTGTCTGTCACCCTTCCTACCGTTATGGCTACACTGAACAACTTAATCTCACTTCAAATATTTGTCTCATACGGAACAGGCGTAGTCTGAGGTCATGATTGAGCAGATTACATTCCTGAGGAGCAAAACAACAAGCGAGTAGAGCTCCAATTAGGCTGCGGTTGGAGCTGAGGCATAAAGATGGAGGAGCCCTCGGTTGTGCAGCTCCTTTCAGATATCAGGTGCTGCAGCCACACAAGCGGACTGTTTGCTGAATCATAAAAGATGCAATAATAAACGTACGTGGCACTTTTATTTATTTACACGCTGAGGAAGTCATTCGAACTGAGCATAAAATATGTGGTACGTTTTGTAAGCCATGCAGCACACCAATAAATCCATGGGCTGTGTCACTCTGACTGAGTGTGTGTGTGTGCGTGTGTTTGCTCACAGCTGTTGACAGCCTTGAAGCCAGCGTCATCTCCAGGTTTCCCTTGAGGCCGAGCAGAGCAGGAACCAGGATGAAGATCTCCGTGATGTAGCGGAACGCCTCCCAGTGCTGCAGACGAACACAGAGGAGTGAAACAACTCGCCTGACCTTCCATTTACTCCACTTTCACTCATATCACATTCAAATTCAAATGCACTACGCTATCATTTAGATAAAGCAAACTTCCTCATGCGTTTGGGAAACCTTGGACTGGATCTAACAGCGTCAATGGAGTAGTTTGTCTGGCCTTTACTAAACTAAGGTATCTCTGTCATGGATAAGACTTCTGATATGATTTCTGCTCACTAGCGTCTAATTATCTAAATGGAGCAATCAGATTCAAGTTTCTGTATGAATAAACATCCACCACATCCCCACCAAACTATTTAGAACATAACATTTCCTCTGAAGCAATAACCACTGCTGAAGTGAAACCAGCTCCTGAAAGCTGAAAGTCAGCTGCAGGACATATTCTGACTTTCCGCTGACAAAAGCTTTTTTTGCACAGCTGTCATATTCGAAGGAAGAAAGAGTCCCTCAAGTTTAATGTTTAAATTAGAGGCTGATATTTTTTATTGGGAGTCCTGAGGAAGGGATTTCACGGGATTGGGACGTGACAGGAACAAAAGCCCACAGGAGCGGGCAGGAATCATGATATCAAGAGACCAGTTTTACATTCACACACATAAATGAAAAAAGGCTTTTTTCTTTCTATCAGCGTTGGTGTCTGTTTGCTGATCAAACTTGCATGATGTATGTCGTGTGCGACGGCGCACGGTCATGCACTGTGCTGCAGCCGCCGCGTGAAATCAAACAACAAAGGATTCAGAGAAGGCAGGTATGACTGATGTGGGAAAGGCAGAGCTGCATCATTTTTTGGATTAAGACTAAAGATCCTTATGACACATTACCACAGGTGAAGTGGTGTTAATACTGCCAAAGCACTGGCCAAGTGTAGGAAGGTGAAGTAATAATAAAACAATTTAAAAAACCAAACAGGAGTTTGATGGGACGGGAGTCTTTCTAACGGGATTGGGATCAGATTTTTTTAATTCTGGCCTGGGATGGGGAAGGGAGAGTGTTTTTTTTTTTGTGACAACATTACAGAGAGGGTCCCTGCAGAGAAAGACATTCAAGTTCAATAGTAAGATGTTTTTTTTTTCAAATTAGAAACAGCTGTTAGAACTCCCTCATTAAAGAAACCAGATGTTATTAACTACAGTTATTTTACCTTAAGAACAGCAGAGTTGCAGGTCTACTGCTGCCTCTATGTTTTGGCTGTTTGTGGAGTTTAAGAACTGAATTCTTGCCTTTTCTTTGACCTCCTGTAATTTAAACGGTTTACACAAATTTCCTGAAGAATGAAGAACTATATAAATGTTTTAAGGCTGCTACTTTACCTCCAACCTGAAGTGATTGTGTTTTTTGCCCCTTTAGACTTTGGCCTAGAGATGACATCATCTCTGCTGAGTACATATCATGTCACAACTGTAATAAAAAATGGTGGTTCTAACTGGATTTAGACTTGAATGCCACCCTGTCTCTAGTTGTGCTGTCGTTTGAATAGAAGTTGTGTTGTTGCTCAGCTGACCTGCACAATATCGAGCACCATTCCAGCTGAAACGGTTCCAAATCCAGCCAGCAGGAAAGGCAACAAGATCTGCAGCGCCATGGCGAGTGGCGACTCTTTGGGCATATTCTGCATGTGAGTTCCCTGCCCTTCCTGCTCCTCTTTCTCCTCCTCTTCCTCTACATCTGCCTCCTCCCCTGACAGCCTCCTCTCAGCCAGCATGGGCTCCGTCTCTGAGTAGCCTCCATCTCCACAGTCAGATAGAGATAGAGATGACCGAGAGGCCCGGTCCAGGAGCCGCCGGCCTTCGATATGCGATGTCTCTTGTCTGTAGCCGTTCTGGAGCGGGCTGGTTTCAGGTTTAGCTCCGAGGTCCACCATGGATAGCCGCTCCTCCTGTAGTTTGGTGTATCCAGTGGGCACCATGGTCTGGAATAGAGAGGCAATCCTCCCTGAAGAAACAGGTTTCAGTGAGAGAGCGCTCCAGCCTCCACCTGCTCCGCTCATACGCACAGTCAGGCTAGAGCCCAGGGATTCCCCGATAGCTCCTCCCAGGCTCTGGATACTCATGATGTGGTCTCGGGCTGCTTAGCCTCATCTCCAGTCATCCAGTCTGAGAGCGGCGTGAAAATAAGACTGAGTAAATGTGGTTTACACGGGCTCAGCTGCACCATCCATGATAGAAAAAACAGCTTCAGGGACTCGTCGGTCTGAAGAAAAGACAACAAAGAGGAGGAAGGTGAGAGATCAGGGAAACATAGCCTGGGGCGTTACTCGAGATGTTATTACACAGCCATGAAGCAGCTGAGTCACTTCTTATTAAGAGCAAGAAGAATCTAAATATGGAGCAGCAGATTTCAAATGAATTATAGATCACATTAAAGGGAATCCATATGACTTTATATAAAAAAAATTAGCAAATCATTCAAGGCGAGGCACATTTGTATGAACTATTTTTTCACGTTTTAACAGTTGAAAGCAAACTACTCTTCGGCTTAGGCCTACATCATTTTCTCCTAAGGTCGCTTAAGATGTTAAGATCTTAATTTTATTTTAGGCATGTTTGTTGTTGGCATAGGCACCAGCATAGCGCTATATAATAAACGGCAATTTATTGCAATAAATAAAAAAGTGATTTTATGCAAACAGGCCCTTCTTTCTCTCTCAGCATGCCTGCATGTGTTTGTCTTACACGCTCGCACTATTTTGATGCAGTCCAATGAAACTCAGGCATGCTATCGTATCGGCTACACTCAAGAGTCATCGCTGCAAATGTGGGGATAAAAACCAATGCCTGATTTATTTTGGATTCACAAGAAATATGTTGCAACAGCTATATGTATAGCTTAAGCTTTCGGTCACTGAAATGGCGAGATTTCCGCGACACACCAATTGCTGTTGGGGGTTCGGAGCCTTGCTCCTGGGCAGTACTCGGGGGAAATGCCCTGGCTGGCACCTCTCCAGCTTGCAGACCGACTTTCGTTTTGTGGTCCGCACCGGGACTTGAACCCAAGTCCCTACAGACTGCATGAGCTACTGCTGCCCAAAATCACGCTTCATATCATTATCCACGATTGAAAAATATGATTCATGATCAAATTTGAATTGCCCTAATTATTTAAACCTGCATTTGTCTGGAAAAACGCCCTGTATTTTTTGTCATATTGCTAAAAGTAAATAGATCACAATTTCTCTATTTTGTATCCAATATAGTCCAGGCCTTCACCATCTGAAGGGACAAACTGTGAAGTAATAGCTCGGCACATTTGGACATGGACAAACTGTGCTATCAGTAAGGAGAGGTCAATCCTGGCATGAACAACAACAACAACAGAGATGAACTTCCCCTGCCTTGTACCTGAACCCTACACTGAATAAAACAACACAAGAGTCCATTATAGACCAACACAGACAGTATTCATCAGAGTTAGGCAGAGTACACCTGTGCACCGAGGTCAAATCAAACTCTTCACTCGTGCACTAACAGGCAAAATTGTAGAAAATGTAAAAGGGACAAAGGTGTGATTGACAGCAGAGGATTAACAGCCCTGTATGTAAACAGTATGAATGTGGCATATGAAGCAAGTGACATCATGGGGGCGGCAGTAGCTCAGTCAGTAGGGACTTGGGTAGGGAACCGGAGGGTCACCGGTTCAAGTCCAGAAGTTGATGTGGTAGCTGGAGAGGAGCCAGGGCACTTTCAGAGTGCTGCCGAGGTGCCCTCCCTGTGGAGCAGCCCCACTCTGACATCTCTCTGCATGTCCACAGGTCCTGTTTGTGCTTCTGTGTGTTAGTGTCCTTCACTAACCTAGTGTTAACCAGAATGTCCCTTAGGGGATTAATTAAATATATACAAATAAAATCATCATGACTGATAAGTACCCAAACAAGTTGAGGGTAAAGATATGAAGAGTTGGCTATAACAGGGTAGTATCTATTTAACCGAGAGCTAATAGGAAGGAAGCTAATTTGCCCTAATAAGCACATTAAAAGAGTTTTTTTGTGCCCAACTTTTCTTCTGTCTCTATTTCATCATTATCCAGGCCTTTAAAATTACCTGTAAGGACTCAAGTCGATTTAGTGGAAGCGATTTTGTTCTGTGCCTACTTCCAGAAGAAGGTAATGTTTACAGATATCCTTAAATAGACTCGAGAAGTGTTCGCTAGTTGACGATATTTGTTTATGTTAGCTGTTTTTTATTACTGTGCTGTTAGCTAGCTGTGGAGGAATCAAAACAGTAGCGCGGCTCCCTACTTTCTACACCAGAGGAATACAGTAACCAGGGCTTTTTGACAGACTAAAACAAAAACTTACTTACTGTAGCTGTCGCCTCGTTTTGTTCATTTTCTGTAGGTTATATTTCTGCTACGGAGACATTTTACCAGGCAGGAGAAGATGCGAGTCTTCCCTGACAGACAGTCAACCAGCCAGAGAGCCGCGTCAGAGCAGAAGACGTGCCACCAAAGATCGTGTAGAAGAAGAAGATGGACCACTCATTCATAAAGATCACTCAGTCAAAAGTGTAGAGATGCAAGGACGTACAATGTTGCTACATTAAGTTAGAAGAAAACATTACAGCAAAAATAAATGTACGTGTCGATGCCGGGGTCGTGATATTTTAAGTAAATTAAAGCATCTTTAAAAAAAAAACTGATTATCATAATCTTGGTGTTGTCGAAAATTGCCAGGAGTTGCGTTGATCGCCAGTGTCGGACGGATTTTGCGCTGTAAATATTATGCGCGTGAGATGTCTCGCCAAAATTTGGGCAGTCAGAACGTTTAGAACATAAAGTGCCACCACACTGTTCCTGCGTTCACTTGGCGTCGGAATAATCGGAAAAATTAGTGTCCGACACAAAAATGCACACTTCTCAAGAAAGTTCGAGGAAAAGTTGGTGTCCGATTTGCCGATTTGAAAGAACTAACAGCCTATTACACAGAAACCAGGCAGACAAAGGGTCAATACTTGCGCGATAACCAAAGACAATCCATACCATATGTTTCAAATTAATGTGTGGCTCATTTGCTGTTTGTGTTAAATAATTATTTCATGACATTTGGTTGTGCTACTCGACAAAATTATCAAGTTTTTTTGATAGGAAAACAATAAAATAAATGTTTATTCAAAGCGTCAGTCTGAATTCCGAGTAATAAGAGGAGTACTTGAATGCATGTATGCATTTTGACTACACTGCGCAGCCGTAGAGTTGACCGATGATTTTACATTTTCTGTTGATATCAGCCGAATAAAGGTATATTATTATTATTATTATCAAATTATTCTGAAGTTGTATCATATCATTAGCGTCTGTGTTATTTAAATAAATACAGCCGTTGTACATTTTTCATCTAATTTCACAGTTCTGAAATTAATCTTCCCGCCCAGTAGAGGGCGCTGTATAAAATAAACATTTAGTTTGTGGCCTCTCACCCGGATGTTGGTCTCACTCGTAACTCACATGTCGACGAAAACAGAACCGTGCGGCGTCTAAGATGGAAATAAATACGAAGAAAACGAGTTCAAAAGCTTTGCTGACATGTGGAAACGGAGAAGGTTTAAATTATGTTTCATATCTTATCGCTTAACGTGTTGAAATAATGCAGAATAACACCGTTTAATGATGTGTGTGCTTAAACTTTGCTAACTATGGAGATCTTAAAAAGAGAGAGCTCATCTAGGTCTTTTTTAAAAATGGAATAATGGTTCTAGTTACTGTTAGATCTAGTTTAAGCCCTCCAGTGTGAAAGTCCTCTCACATTATCTCCAGTGAAAGTGTCAAAGCTTAGTTTAGTTTTTAGGATCTCCATCAGCTGGTTCATATCCTAACAAACAATATATAAAATGTACATTTGAAAACATAAGTAAGCACTATACAAACAATTACATTTAGAAGAGGAGAAGGGGGCATTAAAAAACAGTTTACATGAATCTATTCATTAAACTTTACAATCAAACATAAGCAGTCATGTAGTGCGAGGTATACCCACTTCTAAATCTCCTCCCATTCACATTAAGATAAAGATAAAGATAAACTCTATTGATCGCCCATGGGGGAAATTTTTGCATTACAGCAGCTCAAGAAAACAGGAATATAATTATTAAAAATAGAAGTTAAAAATCAAACCTATGTACATCAGTTAAATAAAGAAATACAGTAATAGAATATTACAAGGTATATGTAATGACTAATTGACTAGATATTTAGTAGTATGCTGGAATTGTTTCCCCTTGGATGGTAAAGGAATAACCCTTCCTACTCTGTCTCTTATTGGTTAGTACACAATTAAATATGTAAGAGTAGTCTTACATGTCACAGTTTATATCAGAGGCTGTTTATGCTCTGTTGGAAGTGTCACTTCAAAAAAACATTTGGGTGTTTTTATGCAGCATTTAACGAAGGTTTGTTTTGTTTGTTTGTTAGGTTTCAATGAGAAGCTTCTCCTCAAGCCGAAGGCGGACAGGTCGCTGCAGACGGAGAGAGTCCCTCGGAGCAGCGGTGAGGCTAAACATGCTCCCTGCATCGCATCCTGCTGAAAGTGCATACTGTGTGATCTATGTGCACACAAACCAATCATCGGTTTTAAAAAAAACCAAGATGTTGAAGTCATCACTGAGCTGTTTGTTCAATGATCTCACTCAGAGAACGGCTCTGGATCACAGTCCCTACACTGCTATTCAAGTGTTTACGCTTTACGCTTAACGCCGCTCCAGACCAAGGCCGTGTGTGTTGTGTGAGTTAGGTCAACTTGAAACGAGATTCTTTTTTCTGTTTCGCTGTCTCATCTGTGGCGACATGAGGGATGTAGACTTCTTCTGCTTAGATAATCATTGAAACTTGAGTTGTGATTTAGAAGAGGACTCTTTTGTTTTGTGGTACTAAGTTTTATCTGCAAGGCACGCTGGGAGAAAAGACCCAGTACACAACTTTGAGACGTGAGTTGTGAGCAGAGCATGCAGCTGTGTAATGTTATCAGCTGTTGGACCACTTCAACTGAATCTGTGGTGTCTTATGAGGGTTTGGCACTTAGTGTGCACGACACATCAATAGGATCCATCACACAATCGTTAAAGATCAACTGAGCACAAACCTCGCCCGAGCCAGAGATGTGACGATGTCTTTTTATGTGCGTCAGTGTTGGAGCGGCTGCAGAGCTTCCTGCCTCAGATGGCCGAGGCCAACGAGAAGCTGAAGCAGCAGATGGAGGACGCTCCTGCTGGGTGCTTTGACATTGAGAGCGTGGAGGAGGCGGAGCGGGTCATAGAGATGGTGAGTGTCCGTACAAACTCCCAAATTTACATTTCAAATGATAAGAAAAGCACGGCGTAAATGTTTCGATCTGGTGCATGACGTGATGCGCGTCGTGTTTGATTTCTCACAGGACGTAGCGCTGGTGGAGCTCAGCGGCTCGGAGGGCGACTCTGAGGAAGACGGAGAGGAGACTTCAGACTCTGACTCGGACGAGGACTCGGACGAGGAGATCGCGATCACGGAGCCGAACTTTAAATTCCCCGGAGACAAAGGCAAGAAGAAGAAAGCCAACATCCAGGTCGTCGACTCGAAGGGAAAGTAGAAACGTCGCCCGCACAGACTTTTTGCTGCGTATCGAGTTTCTCTGCCGACTGAAGGGACGTGGATTAAACTTTCTCACAGACACTGGGAACATAACGCTGCTGTGTGGAGACAAACAGATCCTTCTCATCGCCATGGGAACAACAGTGACTATTATTACTGAACGTTTTAACGGTCAAAGTCGCAGAAGTGCCTTTTGGATCCACAACAGATGCTTCAATGATCATCAGCTGATGGGAGCTTCTCGTCACATAAACACGCCGTGTTTCCATCAGCTTAAGACGAAAAAGCTTCTTCTTCTCTCATACGGCTCAGTAGATTTTTTTATTTTCTGGTGAAACACAGGTCACCAGAGAAGCAGAGTGTTATGTTGTGTGGAAATAAAAATAAATCCCCTGTAGAGACACTGCTTCATTTAAACCCTGAAGTTTCTGGTATTTCTAAACTTGGACCCTTAAATGACCACGAGGGACAAAAACGCCTTTTGTTATCGCTTCAATCAGCAGCGTTGAAACAACAGGCTGGAAACGGCTGCAACACACTCATCAGGTCACACTGCGCACAATGGACGTCGGTCCTCAAAACAGTTCATACTTTTGGTGCGTTCCATCCACCTCGGAAATCAGATCTCAGAGCTAGGAGTGATGTCACACCCGCGGTAACGACGTTCCAGTCGATCAAGCAACATGGAGGCCTCCAGGATTACCTTTGCTGATTTAATTAAACAGGACTAAGTTGCTAGTAAACACAATGGTTACAGATTAAACTTTACTGCTGATGCGCGTAGCAGCCATGTTGGATTTGAGCAACTCTGAATTTCCGATTTCTGAGATCAAATGGAACATATGGTCGCTGACAGGATCAGATGTTACACTGAGTGTCTGATGATATTACAGAAAGGATCCCGACAGAGAAGGACCTGCATGTTACAGACTCACAGGGTTTTTTATGCAGCTCTCCTTAAAGCCGCCAGACTCCACTGACCAAAACATCATCTTTACGTCGCAGATCACGAGAGCTGCTGGTGGATCTTGGCCTTGAACAATGAGATTTTTTTGGGACTTTGTGTAACTTCGGTGTTTTCCCAAATGGTCAGAAAGCACATGTTCTTTTCTTCAAGATAAATTGACTGTTTTTATCAATGGAGTCTAGTGGCTTTTAAGAGAGTGATGTATATTTTAAGTTTGGGGGAAAAAAAGCATCTGTCTCTTTAACAAATAGGTCTGTCTCTGAAGGGTTTTCATCCATTACAGCTTCGAGCTGAGTCAAGTCGAGACCGGCTCTGAGTCTGGAGCACTCTGCTTGTGGCTGCGCCTTGTCTGCCACGTGACCTGATCTGTACTCGTTACTATTGTTGATGCAGAAAGTTGACGGATTGTGCAATTTAAGATGCAACATATATTTAACAGATTAAACGATTTCCCTCCAGGACCAAGATCATTATTTTTTTTCTAGAAACTAAAATCTTCCGTCAGTCGGTTTATATTGGCCTTTTTGTTGTACTCCTTTAATTTTTTTGTGAGCTTCTTATCTATGAATATTATGTTGAAGGTAATCATACAATAAATATAAATATGTTTGTTCCACGTCCAGAGTGAAATACGAGTATAACTGAGGAGCAGTTTCATTTTGACCTGGTTGTTTTTAAATTACAATAAAGTCAATTAAAAAAACAAATAGTTTAAAGTCACGTTCATTGCGTATATTTCTGGAGGTGCACACTTTAGTTAATTCTTCATTTGAGTTTTAAAGGTCACATATTCTGCAAAATCCACTTCACCATGTTCCTCTAACACTAATGTGTCTCTAGTCTGTCTACAAACCCTCCAATGATGAGAAAAGTCCATCCTCTCCATCTTTTCCCTCCAATTTTTTGAAAATGTGTGCTCAAACAGGCTGTTTAGAGATTTTCCCTTCATGACATCACAAAGGGCAGTAACCCCTCCCCCAGGTGGGTGACACTCCCACAGCTAGGTGTTTGTTCTGCCTTCTGAGTCTGCCTTCTCACTGTAAACAATAGAACATGGAGCGAGAAAGCACAGAGACTCCCAAGCCCTTCCAGAGAGGGTGCGTGGTCAGACACAGCTCATTTACATTTAAAGGTACAGACACAGAAACAGCCTGTTCTGAGCTGGGCTGAAATAGAGGGGTTTATAGACATGATCAAATACAGGATCAGAGTGGATTTAGAACAAGACACTTCACACACATGTTTTGAGGAGCTCTGAGTATTATTTAAACTGGTTGAAGAGGAGAATATGTGACCTTTAAATATCAAAGTTACACAAATAAACAAAAAGTTCAGGCAGCAATCGATTGTTCTGCAGGTTTAAATTTCTGTGTTTGTCAATGGTGGCTTTGAAGAATGCAATCTAACGGTTTCTGATTGGGGAAACAAGATTATACCTCGATTAAAAATGTCTGTCTCTGCAGGGAGTATTACTGTAATATCAGACACTTAGAATAGATATATGACCCTGTTATTAAAAACAAGATCTTTAGAGGGTGTGCTTTTATGGGGAATAGTGCCTCAAGGATCTGTCTCATCCATTACAGCTTGTTTTGCAGCTGCTGATGCATGCAATCTACAGACGCACCTCCAAAACCTTTTTGTGTCTGTTCGGTAATCTAAACCCACAAATGTGGAAATTAGAGCCTCGTTTTCAAAATGAAAGAATTCACTAATTGCAGCTCTCGACCTCATGGCACAATGTAGCTTTGACAGTTGAAGAAACGTACAAAAAAAAGGTTCCAGGTTGACAACAGTGAGTGTGTTTTAACATAAAACACACGTTTATTTAAAAATACAGTCGGACCCAGCTCGGCTCCAACTCCGAGTTTTGATGTGTAGAAACACAGGCGGGTAAAAAGCAGGTGTCTCATGTTCATGATGTCAGGTTTTTTTTTTCCCCCATGAAGAAAGCCAAGAAAAGACGGGCACGTTGTCCAAACTGAGATGAACAACAAAGCTCTCCTCTCATTCACACAACACACACACTCGCTTACACACTAACACATACTCTCAAACATGCACACACACACTGTCCTGCAGAATGTAGCTGGATGTCTGACTGAAGCAGACGGATGTGGGTCAGAGTTCGTCAGGAGAGTCTCAGTACTCCACAGTCACTGCTTTGGTCTTGAGGTATTCACTGAGAGCATCTTCTCCTGCAGACACGACAGGAAAAAAAACATTAAAGGGGACATATTATGAAGAATCCACTTGTACAGTGTTTCTGAACATATATTTGGGTAACCTGAGTGTCTCCTGACCCACAAAATGTGAAATAAACCCATCCAGTCCTTTGTTTGTGGTCTGCATAAGTCTTACAACACAGAGAAAAATGCTCCGTTTCAAATTTGCTCAGCTTGTGATGTCACAGTGGGATTCTAGTAAAAAAAAAATCCCCTCCCCTCCCCTGGTATCTCCACCCCAGCCTAGAACAAAACTTTTGTGCAGGTCTTCCATTTTTATTCTTGCTACAGAGGAGTGATGTCTACTTGGAAAACTCAGGGGGGGCTCAGTGCATTTAAAGAGACACACACACCAAAACGGAGCGTTCTGAGAGAGCTGGTTTATACAGGGTCACAAACCTCCTCTGGTGCTTGATTCATGTTATATTTTGACCAAAGCACAGCACAGATGTTTCATTTAGACCACAGGGGGACTGTTTGAAAAGCTGGAGAAGGGGGATGATATGTCCTCTTTAAAACATTTTAATTGACTTCATAATAAAACACTCGTCTGCGTTTAACACCCTCAAATAGAAGTCAGCGCCCCAGATGCACCGTCCAAGTCGAAAAGTCTGGACACGCCCCTGACCTTTAGTTTGTGAAAACGTAGCTCAGGTTGAAAAATACGTATCGTGCGTCTCTACTCACCGAGGTCTTTGCCGAAGCCGGACTGCTTGAAGCCGCCAAACGGTGAAGCCACGTCGGTCTTGTTGTAAGTGTTTACGAATACCGTACCCGCGTCCAGCCGCTCGCTCACGTACATGGCCTTGTTGATGTCGCGGGTGAACACGCCCGAGGCCAGGCCGTACTCTGTGTCGTTAGCTCTGTGCAGCACGCCGTCCACATCCCTGCAGGATTGAAGCATGGAGAGGTTCAGAGAGGTTATGTAAGGTCAGCGACTCAAATTGAACCGCAAATGAATTCCTCGATGGCTCACCCGTCTTTGAATTTGGACACCACCATGACGGGGCCGAAGGACTCCTCTTTGGCGATGAACATGTGGTCCTCCACGCCAGTGAACACAGTCGGCTCCATGAAAAATCCTGAAGGGAAATAACCATGTTGACTGTTAATGTAAAAAAAAGAGCCGACTGATGAGTGTCATTAGTTACAGACATTCTCCTCAGGAGACCGGGTTTTTTTTGGGGGGGGGGGGGTTTACCTGGCCTGTCCACCTGTCTGCCTCCGCACACCAGCGTGGCGCCCTCCTTCAGTCCCACCTCGCAGTACTCCAGCAGCTTGTCCAGGTGGGCTTTGTGGTTCTGTGGGCCGTGGTCTGTGGAGCGATCCAGCGGGTCTCCGATCTTCATCTTCTTGATCTCCTCCACCTAAGAAGAGAAGAGAAGAGTGAATCCTTTTTAGGCTTCATGACGCTGTGTTTCAAACTCACTTTCTCAAGCTGCATCATGAGAAGTGTAGAAAGGCTCCTTTAGGATCCACACTTTGATTCCAGAGTCGTTAGAAGTCGGTGTCATCGTTTCCTCTCACTCACCACTCGACTGATGAACTCGTCGTGGATGCACTCCTCCACAAACAGACGACCTGCAGCGATGCAGTTCTCTCCTTTGTTGAAATACACCGAGCTCATGCCCTGCAGAGGAGTGAACACACAAACACCATGAACAGTATGTCCTCTGGTACATTTAGTTTTATTCCTGCCACTGTTGTTGGAACTGTCATGAAGCTCCAGCAACATCTCGTAGTTTAAAGAACAACTTAAGTAGAACGACGTGTTTCTGCCTTCAAAGTGTGTCTGCAGCTTATTTAAAGATCTATTTTTGGGGATTTTTTTACGCCTTTATTCTAGAGACAAGACAGTGGATAGAGTCAGAAACCCGGGAGAGAGAGAGTGGGGGAACGACACCTTGGAAAGGAGCCACAGGACGGACCTGAACCCAGTCTGCCCACCCTCAAGGAGTAAGCCTCCGCAGCCCTGAAGCTCATTAAGGTTTAGACTTTAACAATTAACCAATTAGTCTGTAAAAATGAAATAAGAGCCCATCCCAATTCAAGGCCCAGTGACTTTTAGTAGCCTGTTGTAGCTGCATGTTATGAGAAATGAAGGCAGCTCTCAATCAAAGGCCTCTGTACATGTAGTTTGCAGAATACAAATATGGAAAAAAGCAGCAGGACACAAAAAAAACCCTAAACTACTGTCCAGGAAAGACATAATGATGCTAGTATGCGGTAAAGTAAATAAAAGTCTGGGCTTTTAATTGAAGTTTCACGGTACCTTAAATTTCCCAGAATTGAAAGGTTAAAATCAATAGTTTTGTTTTAGATACAGTCCTCATCCTTAGCATGAAATATGAATCAAATGAAATGGAAACCTACTTAGTGCACACATTTAAGAGGCTGGAAACACAAAAGATGTGTCTATGTATTAACTGAGTAGTTGCTTTTGAACCTAACTAACTGTTATTCAGTAACAGTTCTCTCTCTCACCATGCGAACAGCCTTGTCCATATCACAGTCACCGAAGATGATGAGGGGCGACTTCCCCCCCAGCTCCAGAGAAACCTTCTTCAGGTTACTGACCGCACAGCTGCAACACAAAAATCACAGAAAAGTGTGATTTTTTCTTTCCCATCACTGAAATCAACCAAGAAACGGGTCAGGAGTCTGTGAGGTGGTACCTCTTCATGATCTGTTTGCCGATGGGTGTGGAGCCCGTGAAGCCCAGCTTGCGGATGTCTGGGTGGTCGGATAAACGCTGTCCCACCATCCCGCCTGAGCACGGAAACAGAAACTCCATGTAATGAGGTGAAACATGATGTGTCACAGGAAGAGTACACAGTGACACAGACGTCTTTTCATCCCCGTGATGACCTCAATCCTTTCTCAAAAGAAGGAACGTTATATTTTTAGACCGAGTTAAAGTTATAAGTCGGTTCATACCTGAGCCTGGCAAAATGTTGATGACTCCTTTTGGGATTCCAGCTTTTACTGACAGCTCTGCAAACTTCAGCGCCGTCAGCGGAGTGACCTGTAGATATTGTAAACGATGTACATGTGAAACACAAACTCATGAGTCGTGACGTGTGTGTGTGTGTGTGTGTGTGTGTGTGTGTGTGTGTGTGTGTGTGTGTGTGTGTGTGTGTGTGTGTGTTACGTTGTGCTGACCTGTGCAGGTTTAAGAACGAGTGTGTTTCCAGCCGCCAGACAGGCAGCACTTTTCCACGCCAACATCATGAGAGGGTAGTTCCAGGGGATGACGATGGCACACACACTGTCATGGTAAAAAAAACAAAAAACAAAGAGCATTTAGTAAACACACCTGCAATGAGATGTGGAGGATTTATTAAATCCAGATTTTTTTTTTTAACCCAGAGGTTCTCTCTTGGTGAAGGTC